AGCCATGGGCAGTACAGTTGTGTTCCAATGAGCTTTATGTACACAAAGACAAGCAGACGCAGGAGTAGGGCTGTGAACCGGACCCAGCTGATCCTTTCCCTAGCTTAGGGAAAGGGCTTGAAGATAGATTGGATCCTTAGGATGATCACTATTGTTGAAAAGCAAGGATCGCATCAAGACCTCAGAGAAAGGAACGTACCTCGGAATGAAGACTCTCCTGTCTATTTGAACATGTCCCTCTCCCTGTGCCTGCTATGTGTGTCTCTGCTCTGCACACCTACGCGCCAGCAACCTTGGTGAGGTCATGATTCCAAAGCCTTCCATACAGTCAGTTGCCAGGCACAAATGCACCGGAGAGAAGCAAGACCGTGTAGGCACCTTATTGAGGGATGACCTCAATAAGCAACTCTGCCCATCTTCAAGTGAAGAGGCTCTACCAACAAGCCTTCTTCGGTGAGTCCAGAACCATGGTAATAACGGCCAGCTCGTTACCTCCACTGACATTTAAGCAGTGGGGTGGCTCTCATTCCAAGATTTCTCCATCCAGAAGGCAGAGGGCTGGCACACATAGAATATTATTGTGTCACATTGAGAGGTTTGGTTTGTTGTTGTGTTGTTGTTGTTGTTTTGACACGCCCAAATCCTGATAGGGTGGTGGGGACTAGTGGCCAAAGGAAGAGAGAGCATGTAGCCAGGTGTATTCTGAAAATCCTATGGGAGAGAGACTGGAGATGGTGTAAGGTGGCTAGGAGCCAAGCGACTCGAGGGTACATTGCTTTTGTTGCTGTCTACACTCCCATAACAAGTAGGGCTGGTCTCTTTTCTGAGGCTGGATGTGGTCAAACAGGCTTTGGAAGGCTGCAAATGAAACAGGAAGCCCTTCATGCACATTAAACCTGGGCACTGGGCATGCAGAGCAAAGAAAAGCAGTCCTCTAACGAGGAACGAGAGACTCCCGTGTCTTTAGGGAGAACTTCTTATTCAACTTCTTGTTGAATGAGGAACTTTCAGACCAAGACAAATGCACTTGAGAGCTAAGGACAGAGGTGCTAGGCCAGGGAGATGGGCAGATGGGCAGAGATGCTTGAGAAGGGGAAGAAGGGGAAGAGATCTTTCAAGGAAAATGGTGTTATTGCAACCGAACAGTGGCTACAAAGATGTACTCTAGGGTCTGCTTCTAGCTTGCTTTCCCGCCGCCCCTGCTCTGGGTTTTTGATTAATTTCCATACAGTCCAGAGCACACACCGCCAAATCCCCACTGCTCAGTTTTTATGCTGTTCCTTCTTCTTGGGGTGCTCTTGGCTTCCTGGGTCATCATCTTCTGACTAAATGCTTTGGATGGTCAAGTCTCAGGTGCTACTTCCAGGTAGCCTTCCTTTTTTCTTTCTTTCTTTCTTTCTTTTCTTTTTTTTTTTTTTTTTTTTGATTTTTCAAGACAGGGTTTTTCTGTAGCTTTGGAGCCTGTCCTGGAACCTAGCTCTTGTAGACCAGGGTGACCTTGAACTCACAGAGATCCACCTGCCTCTGCCTCCTCAGTGCTGGGTTAAAGCCACGCACCCCCACCCAACAAGGCAGTCCTCTCAAATTGCGTTCCAAGTCTTTCCTTCTTTGCAGCTGTCTGTCTTTCATCAAAGGAGTCCTCTAGCAATCTCGCCTGGGAGCAAAGGAATGTTGAAGACAGAGCCATTTTCTAGGTATCTCTTTAATTTCTGACACACAGTGTATTATCCGGGAAGAACCCTCTAGAAGCAGAAATTGGACAATTAATCTACAAATTCAGACTGGTGTAGCTCTCCTATTTATGTGTAGTGGTCCTAGCTTATAGCTATGTAAATACTTGGCATCCTATACATAATGGTCTCTCTTGTCCCATCCCGTTAAGAGACAAGCCCCGCCCACTCCCTACCCCAGTCCACCGCTGAGGCAGGCCTTCCTTCTGCTTCCAGCCTGAGCTCTTGTCCTTTTCAGTCTTGCTTCCTTCTCCCCACTTCTCCCCTTCCCCCTCTCTATTTCTCTCTCTATTTCTCTCTCTCTCTATTTCTCTCTCTCTCTCTCTCTCTCTCTCTCTCTTTCTCTCCTCGTTCCCATTTTTCCCTCTCCCCTTCCATAACCCACAAAATAAACATCCAACCTCACTCTGCATGGCATGCCTATCCATCCGTCTCTCACCAGCCTCAGCTGCAGCTCTTTGTGGGACCCAGCTGCCTTCGTGGCCCACCATGGTCTCGCGCCCACTGCCGCCACTCGGGGAACGGGACCCTTTTATTTTTACCATAACGCTATATCCCCACTTCTCCACAAGTCCCAGCCAGTCTTGTTTCTGCATCAGCTCAAAATGAATGAATTCAGTCATCCCTTCATTCCCTCAGAAGCTTCTCCTCATGGTAGGAGATGCCATGAGATCTTTTACTAACATTAATGGAGGAAGCAACTGCTGAACTCTTTCCTTCCTTTCTTCCCTCTTCTCCATTGTCCTTCTTCTTTTTTTTTTTTTTGTTTTGTTTTGTTTTGTTTTTAGAGACAGGGTTTCTCTGTAGCTTTGGAGCTTGCCCTGGAACTAGCTCTTATAGACCAGGCTAGCCCAAACTCACAGAGATCCTCCTGCCTCCCGAGTGCTGGGATTAAAGGTGTATGCCAGCTTTTCTTCTCCTTCTTTACCAGTGTTGCTATGGAGCCCAGATTGATCTCAAACTTTTGACGATTCTCCGGTGTCAGCCTTTCCAGTACTGGTATCGCAGGTAGGCACCACCAAGGGCTGCCTGTTTTCTCGTAGCTCTGGCAGGACCTGGAACTCGGGGATTTCATAAGCTGGATGAAGGAACCTATAGCATTTTCCCACAACCAACCACCCTTAAACATTAGCCACTGTGGTTAACACCAGCTCCCACACGACCTGGGTTTAAAAGCACATATTGAATGAACTTAATGGTGTGTGTGTGTGTGTGTGTGTGTGTGTGTGTGTGCTGTGTATGTACCGAGAAAGGTAAGCTTGATTTGGTGGATGTTAACTCATGAACAACCAATCATCCGCATTGCCTGTGCCCTTAACTTCAAGTGACAGGCTCCATCTCCATCCCTAACAATGTCTTACTTTTTAGCTGTTGAAAATGATTCTCACATAGCCCAGGCTGGCCGCAAACTCATTATGTAGCCAAGAATGGCCTGAAACCTCTGATCTTCAGGACTTTGTCTCTTAAGTGCTGAAATCCCAGGCTTGTTTCAACCATGCTCATCAACATCTTCATCTTTAGCCTTGTAAAGAACAACAATAAGTCCCTACGTGATGGAAGGACAGGACCAATTTCAGTAAGTTCTCATCTAACCTCCATGCCTGCCCCATATATATTTCATAGTAGACAACAACATTAAAAAAAAAAACCTAGTATCGATACAGAATCAGCTTTCGACAAGGATTTTGAACTTCTTTTCCTATGCATTGACATCCTTGGTGATCTGCAACGTAAGTCTGGAAAACTGCACAACTTTTGACAAAATAAAAGGATTTCTTTACTGTGCGGGGGAGGGGGGAGGGAAGAGGAGATGGGAGGTGCGGGGGGGGGGGGGGGGGGGGGGGGGGGGAGGGGTGACATAGTGGGTGTAATCACAGCATTCAGAAGGCTGAGCTAAAAGGACTGCGGGAAATTTGGGGTGGATTTGAACCACACAGAAAGACTGTCTCAAAAACCACCCAAACAACACATACACACAAAAAAGCAATCCAAGAACATTCTGTTATTCACCAGGACAAAGATTCTAGACGCCTACTATGCTCTCAAATAAAGTTGCCACTGTATGGAAGCAAAGGGCAAGCCTCAGGTTAGCAAACCCGAGGTTGCCATACACGGTCTCAAAAGGAAACCGAACAAAATACACATAACATAAACGCAGATAGCAAAAAGTCGTAAAGAGACTCGTCTTACAATGACTATATTCTGATGAAACTTAAATTGATATTAAACTAAATTTAAAAGCCAGGTCTTCTACTCTAGCCAGGCTTCAAGTGTTCAGTAGCTGCGTAGGTCAGGGTGGCTACCATCTTGGATGACACACGTACAGAACCATTTCCGGTTTTACCCAGAAAATTCCATATGACCGCTCCGCTCAGGATCACTCTTTTACAAAATGCAGAGACTGGGGCCCAGGGAAGTAAATCAAGCTCGTTACGGGAAAGTATGGGTCTAGACCCAAGCTAGCCTACTTCGTGATATATCCCCTTCCTCCGGAAACTCTAGGATTTCCCCCCCCCCCAGCTCAAAGATTCTAACTGGTGCGGGGGGGGGGGGGCAGGGGTGGAGGGATGGGGAGGGGGTAACGCAGGTTTAGAGAGAGGTTTGTGACGGACCAGGGCTTCAGACGCTGCGCATTCCTGATCGGGTCAGGCCTGCCCTGCGGCACTAGGCACTCGGGATTAGCTCTTCTGAACAGCCCCACCTCTTCTTTCTGGAGTTGCCAGCTTTCTGCCCAGCCCAGGGGGCGCGTACATCAGGAGGCTCCCTCACTGCTTTGGGTGAGGCTAAAACGAGGAGAAAATTCCCGCTAGGGAAGAACTTCTGGTCAGAGGGGGCGTTGAAGGTAGGCAGGAAATTGACCCAGAGGTCTCCAAATCCAGCACCAGGGGCATCTGGGAACCAGGCTTCTGCCAGCCCATCAGGGAGTTGCATTTGGCGGGAATTGCATTTGCCTTCACCTGCACACCTGCAGTGTGTGTGTGTGTGTGTGTGTGTGTGTGTGTGTGCGTGTGTGTGTGTGTGGTGTTTACGTGTGTATGTGTGTGTTTATGTGGGGGTGGGGGGCTCCAGGAATTGGGTTGGAATAGGGAGCAGGAGGCGAGAGGCCGTGGGAGGGGGCGCCCGGGAGCGCCCTGACCTCGAGGGCTGTCGAGAGGCGGGGAGAATGGGGGTTGGGGGAGAAGAGGGGAGCCTGGCAGCCAATAGGAGGGAGGATCTCGTTTCAAAAGGGTTAACCCACAGCCAATGAGCGCCTGGGGGAGCGGATCCTGCTCACTCCATTCAAGAATCCCAAGTATTCAAGATGGACGGCAGGGAGTGTGGAAGGAGAAAGGGGGCGCGGGGGGAAGAACCCGATCTCTAGAGGAGCGGAGCGCCGCGGCCAGCCCATCCCGGAGCCCCGGTCCCGGCCGGCGGGTGGAGGGGCAGCTGGCGGGGGCTCGAGTCCGGCGGGGACGGAGAGAGGCTGGCGGGGTACGAGAGGGCGTGAGAAGGGGAGCGAGGCCAGGAAGGGGAGCCAAAAGGGAGGGAAAGGCAGAGAAAGAGCCCGGGAAGAAGGAGGTGGCGGGCAGAGGAACCTAAGAAGAGCGATGTGTAGGTATTGGGAGCTTGGCGCTTTCCGGTTTTCTCTCGGTGAGGGGAGGGGGTGCTCCGGCCTTTTTCTCTCCTGCTTTTTCCTCCCCTCCTCATTCTCCACTCGGAGGCATGGTCTCTATTTTTCCTTTCGAAACACTATCTGGGGAGCACCAGGCGTATCTTACCGAGGTGGCCTCACTGTCATTTTCCAATGGGGGCGTGGTGGGAAAGGGTGGGGGGCTCTAAGCCTGAGCCATCTGCCTGTCCCTGGGCTTGGGAGGGTGTGGGGACGCCGGGGGAACTTGGCGTGTGTGTTCCGAGAGCAGCCAGAGCATTGCAGGGAATTCATCACCTCTAGAACTTGTGGGATGAGCCCCACTTGCTGTAGGGGTATAGGGCTGCCTTTACCTAGTAGCGGTGGCATGTGAGGACGTGGGGATCTGTGCCTCCACCTTCCAGTTGGGGTGAATGTCGGCTGAGGGGCGAGTTGTATAGCAAGTATGGCTGAGAGTTTGCGTGTGCGTGCAAGTGCGTGTGGTCCAGCCTCGAGGTGTGGCAGGGGCACAGTTGGGTATCGAGGGGAAAGCGCCCCTCACCCCACACTTCCCAGCTGCCTCTCTCATCCCATTCACAGAACAGGGCTTTCAGGACCCTCCTGGTCTCCTCCTCCCGTCGCCATGGTTGCGGGAGGAGGTGGGGGGATTGCAGGAGGAGACAGTTAGAGCCAGCCCCTTGCCCCTGCTGCTCCAGCTAACCCCCCACCTGCCCTTTCTCTCCTTTCCACAGGCTGGGCCCCATCCCTGCTGCTCTGGCGGGCAGGGGCCGGAAGATGGTGGCCAATGAGGAGGGGGAGTGGAGAGAACTTGAGCCAGGGCCTCCCCTCCCCCATTTCCTCCTCTGTTTCTACACCCGCTTCTGGAAGGAGCTGGGGGGGTGGTTCCTAGGCCCAAGGTGGGGGAGGGGTCCTGCTGGCTGTTGTATTGCTGGTCTCCCCTCTCAGGAATGAGTTGGGCACGTGAGCTCCTAGGGACTCAGTATCCCAGCTGCCTCTCCCCTCACTCCTTTAAGGAAAGATCTGGAGACTCCTTGATGAAGAATCTTTGGCTGCCCTGAAGCTTACTGGTTAGTCTTGTCTTTGTCCTTTTGCCCCATGTTGGCCTGGTCCAGTTCCCAACTGGCTTGCCCAACTCCAGGAGCAGAGAGGCCTGGCGACTGACCCAAGCGGGCCTTGGTTTCCGTCCATTGGAACTGTGCAAACTGGGGCAGGGCCCCGTGTTTGCAGATTACAAGAACAAACTCTGTCTGGGAAGGCGGGAAAGAACCTCTCCTGCTTCCTGAGGGGGTGGGAGGAGGCTGGAGGGGGAAGCCCAGAGGAAGAGCTCCCAGTGGAATTCAGTCCTCCATTCCCCCCCCCTCCGCTTGTTGCAGTGGAAAGTGGGGGGGTCTCCCTGAGGCTGCTCTACCATCTGGATCCACAGAGGAGTCGCCTCCCAGCCTCTGTCCCTTTGGTCCAAACTGTAGCTGGTTTCTGGTCATTAGCTCTGGCTGGCTCCCTAGTCCCGGGATTGAGTGTGAAGACTCAGATACTGAATGTGGGGGTAACAGGAAATTTGTCTTCTAATCCCACCATCCAGGAAAGCTTATCCTTAACTCAAGAGCCAAATCACTGACCATCTGGCTTAACACCATAGATTAGCTTAACATCCATAGATTGCTTTGAAGACCTCGGAAAGGAAACCGTGCTTGCACCCCCAGATCTGGGAGCTTCTCTTGCCCCGGTACCTGTAGCTGTAATCCCATTCCTCTGGTCCTGGAGGTCCACCACCTGATACATCACCTTAAGACCTCCAGGGCTCCTTTGTCGAAAATTAAGAAGTTAACTTTAGACTGGAGACGAGTCAGAAGGTGGCAGGCGAACAGGCAGCCTGCTATGGTCACCTGGACTACTTAGAAAACAAGCCGGTTATTTCCTTCGAGGAAGAGAGGAAGGCGGAGCCCAGGGGCCCGGAGGAGGCAGGGCCGGCATGCCTTCGCTGCTGGCCGGAGCTCTTTTCACATTGTGCTACTGTCCTCACCTGTAACGAGCAGTGCAATGTTAAAAGGGCATCGGCCTTGTAGTGCTACCCAGTGCCGGCGGCCTCCTCCGCATAGCTGTCCTCTCTCCCGTCTGGGCGCCAGTCAGCTACCCTGGTGAAAACTTGGGTTAACGAGCCATTTACATGTGCAATCCCTTGGCTAGACATGGCAGGCGTCCCCATAGCAAGAGCGCTAGAGAAGTTTAAGCTGTTTGGCTAAGGCTATTGCGCTCATAAGTTAGGACTCCGTCCGGAGCCCAAGAAGAAGGTACCCATCTATTTTGTCAGGAGAGATTTGAACTGAGGGAGTGAAAGGTTTTGATGCCACCTGCTGGTTGTGTGAGGGTGTCCTCTGAAGTCTTCCGCTCTAAGGATAAGCCTGGGAGCAGCTCCTTAAGTGAAGAAGGTCTGAGTTTTCAGACAAAGCTTAGGGTGGACAGTTGGTGAAGTAGGGAGAAGTGTCATGGGGCCCACAGAAGACCTCTGGGAATGAGGGGTACACAGGAAAGGAAAGGACCAAGAAGAAAGGAGAGTTGCCTAGGCAGAGGCTTCAGTATCCCTAGTGTCCTCTGCCTCTTGTTATGGGAAGGAGGTCTCTGCATCTGAAATTTTCAGCATGACCTCTGGACCATACATATCACTTGATGGTGATGGCTCTTGGGGGCAGACCTGCCTGGGCACCCAAGATCTGGACAGCATTAGTTAGGTCTTAAAAGATTAATCTGAGCCAGGCCCAGAGTCTTCACATGCTCCACAACCATGCCATTTACTTTTCTGTCTTTCACAGGACTCTCCTTCAGCAGTTTTGAGCTTGCTCTGGTGCGGGAAATGCAACCAAGAGACAGAATTGAGTCTCTACTCATGTTTAAGGACAGAAGATAATTGGTATCAGTGAAACCGCACAATGGGTCAGACAAGCTTTCTTTGGCCCCAACACTCAGATGTTTCTGGCTTGTGTTTGCCCAGTTCTTTGTCCTGCCCACGGTCTCTCCAGTCTGATGTTAACAGTATTTAAGATAGTATAGGTAACTCTGAATCCATGAGTTCAAGCTGTTAAAGTTATGAGTCTTCCTGGGCATAGTGGTACATGCCCTTAATACCAGCACTTGGGAGGCAGGTAAAACCAAGTGAGCCAGAGACTAGCTCTAAAAAGGAAATTCCAGGCAAGCCAGAGCTACATAGTGAGACCATTTGCCTGTGGGCCCTTCCCCCAAACAACAGCTTCTTGTCTGGCACAAAACAAACAGCTATTTGGCAGTATCTACTTTTTAAGTTTTTGGGGTATGGATGTGGCTCGGTAGAGAGAGAGCTTGTCAGGCATTCACAACATAAAGCCAGATATGGTAAAGCAAACTTGTAATCCCAACACTATCAAGGTGGAGGCAGGAGGATCCCATGTTCAAAGTCACATAGCAAGTTAGAAGGCCAGCCTAGACTATAGAAGACAGTCATTTGTCCATGCTTCTGTGGTGTCCTTGATCAGCCTGTGGACCGTGAGCCCCTTGGCAAACCTATCTTCAAAAAATAACATTATCGTTCATAACAGCAAAATTACAATTATGAAGCAACAAAAGTAATGGTCGGGGTCACCACAACATGAACCGCATTAAGACATTGAGAACCACTGTTACAAGGTTGCGATTCTCCCATTTTGAACTTTTATGTACTCTTACACTTCTAGCCACGTAGAAACACAGTTTCCTCAGAGTAGCTAAGTGTGTGCCACGTCACATGGTTCTGTATGAATCTACGGCGAAGCCATCCCTGACCCTTCAAATCTAGGTGAAGTTCCTCCTCAGCTTCCCCTGTACTACAGTCCTTATCTTCTGTTGAGGTCACCTAGCTTCCTTCTAACCACTGAGCAGGAAAAAAAAAAAAAACAAGTTGTCAGGCCATGGCTAGCTTCCTTGTGCAACCCTGGAGATCAACACAATGCCTGGCAAGTAAAACGTACCTATAAGTATTTGCAATGCCCATGAGATGATCTGGAAATAAGGATGTAACTTAAGAGATTTTTACCGCACATATATGGTCTTCCCCTGTGGGGGCTGAGCGCCTCCAAATCAACATTTCACTTCAGTGCACGCCAACCACGTTCCTTAGATCACACTTCTGTGTTTATGCTATAGTTTTGAGCTATATCCGACTCCTGTTACACTACCAGCCGAGTCTCAGCCCATAGATTTTCATTTTAGCCTCAAGGGTATCCATGAGTTGATTAAAACATTCTAGGACTAGGCATAACAAAACAAGAAGATGCAAGAAACTGGAACCCACCAAGTTGTGGAATAAGTTTGCACTAGCTGCTTATCCTGAGTCCAGATTAAAAAGTAGCCTCCTTAGGGGGAAGTCTTGGGATCCGGAAACAGGTGCTACCCATGGACAAGCTCACCAAAACCATGCCTCATAATTCCCTGCTTGTGAAACAGGTGGAGAATCTTGACACAAAGTGACTACTGCCTCCTAGGGGGTGTTTTAAAAAAAGAGACCCTTGCTGGTGCCTATTGGGACAGTACGGGACCCACACCTATGGAAGGAAAGCCAGCACAGTACCTCAGTTGCTTTTCCCCTTTTTATTAAAAATAGACCCAAACACTTTATGTATCATACAAAAGTTTCGTTCGCTGGTGGCAGTCACTGGAAAGACTGGTCCCGCAGCGCCGATGATCCACCGCCTCCAAGGGACTGGGTCCCAGAGAGCAGTGGCTGAGCCTTGGGGAATGCCCGTAAAGACTGCTCTCTCTGGCAACAGCCAGCCAGGGGTGGGGGCTGTTCTTGGGGCAGCTTTCCCCACCCCACCCAATGGCAAAGATTAGATACTTAAAAGTGCCTCTGTAGTGCCAAGGTAAACAGCGGAGTGAAATGGGAACCCCTGCAACTGATTTCCCAGGGTCTAGGGTTTGTGTTTTTTCCTTCTATTGGCCCCATCTCTAGTCCTTTTTTTTTAGACCAAGAATGGGGTTGAGTAAACTACCCTCAGACTCTGGGGCCCTGATATCTGAGACCAAAATTTCACTCCAACCTAAGTCTCTGCTATTCTGTGGTCTAGCCCCACCACCAGGGGTTTGTCCTGGTTATTCAAAAAAAAGGCGGATCAAAGGTTGATAACTCCTAGTCCTATCTGCCTGAGTTCACACCCTGCCATCACTCTGTTTTCAGTGCTGTTAGCGTCTCCTCTCCCCAGTTTCGTATTTCCCTGACTGCTACCCGCTCCTGAGCCTTCACTACCCCTGGGGTATCGCAGGCTCCGGTTCCAAGGGGACCTGGTACTGCTGCGGTGGGGGGAGGGAGGCGGTGGTCGTTTGGAGCCAGGTTTCCCCAGGGGTGGGCAGTACTCATGCTGGTGTGGACTGCTCACGGGGCCAGGGGACTGGTGTGAGAAGGTGGGGCATGCGGAGGAGGGTCCCAGCCTGCTGAGCCCCCCTCAGTCCCAGCCGTTGTCCTTCACCATGTGTGACATCTCAATGATGTACTTCCCTTCTTTGTATTTCTGGCTGGTCTCAAAGGCTTGTTCCTGGTGGGGAGTAAGATGGTGACCATGGGAAAAGGGTGTCTTCCACCTCCAGGCTCCTCTTCCCACACCTAGGCCAACCCGGTTCCAAGCTCCCTCTGTGGACCATGCAAAAGCCTGGTGTCTGCGCACTGGGTCTGGAGAGCAGTGAGGACAATCTAGGAAGCGGCTCTCCTCAAATACTTACATATTTCCAGCCCAGTGTGGTCTTGCAGCTTTCGCAGAAAATGTCAGCTACCGAGTGGAGTCCTGTGAGCAGGAGGCGCTGTTCAGCTGGCCCACAACCCACGTTGACCCTGTCTCGGGAAACAAGGACCCAGCACACAGTAGGGTTGCTCTGTCAGTCCCAACCTACCCAGAAGGATTTCTACCGGGGGGGGGGGGGGATGACTAGAGCATCCACCCCTTTAGGATCAGTGCTTGGGCCTTCTTTGACCCCGCACAACTTAAGACTGCTTTTCTGATCCTTTTGAAGGCTTACCCCCATTTTGCAAAGAGAAAAGCTGCCGTAGCACAAGCAAACACACGCGCGCGCGCGCGCGCACACACACACACACACACACACACAAAGAAAGAGGTAGACTCACACGGAGTTAAACAGGTAGGCCCGGCCATGGCTCCCTTGGAAGGACTGTGGAAACAGGACAGACAGTGACCACTGGGTATGCCTCAACCCCACTGCCTAGATCCCGCTGGAGTGGCGGGAGACCTCAGGTGCTCCCATTGTCTCGGAGGGAAAGCCCGGGGAGGCAGGCGGCGGGCCCTCGCTTCGGCGTTACCTTGGAAATAAGCTCATCGTGTTTGGCCAGATGTGCTCGACAGTGGACACAGCTGTAAGTACGGTGGCAGCGGGGAAGGTAGCTGCGGAAAGTCTTGGTGGGTAGACAGGCAGGGGCCGGGCCAGGGTCACAGCTGGGCATGACGGGCTGGAGGACGATGCCCTGGCGGGCTGGAGGGGCTGGTGCCGTGCAGCCCCCGCAGAGACGGTCGCAGGTAAAGCAGCGGAGCAGGTTGGCTAGAGCCGTGTTTCAGGACGGTAGAAGTGTGGGGGGGCTGCCCGGCCAGGGCCCCCCCAGACGAGAACCAGATAGAAATGGAAATCACCTGGTAAGAAACGAAGGTTCGTCAGGGGGGAGATGTGACCTCATGAGGAGCCGCTCTTGAGCAGTTAAAGAAGATGGGGCTCAGCTCACCTGGACCCTCGCACCTTCCCCATCGCCATCAGCCCTCGGCTTCCCATTGCACTTTCTGTCCCCTAGAGTCCCATTCTGTTCTGGCAGCGGTTCCAGGCGTCTTGTGCCATGGCCAGGGAGTTGGTACCTCTTGCTCTCAAGAGGCAGCAGCAGCCTCCAGCATTTTCCACTGAGAGCAGCCTTCTGGCACAGACACTGCCTTAGAAGCAACATTACCTGCAGAGACTCCCCTGTGTCCAGTTCTGTGAGAAACTGCCCCCCCCCACCTGGGCTCAGAACCTTATCAAAGTGAAGTGCTCCTGAGTTGCGGTTGTCGGTTTTGTTTTTGTTTTTTTTTTTTTCTCTCTCAGGGCCTCTGTTGGCAATACAATTGGCCCACATTTGGGGAAAGAAGGGAGGAGGAACAGGGAGATGGGTACACACACACCCCACTTAGCCCTCTCCTGGAGTTATCCTGAGCCCTGGAACTCCACATAACTTGGTAGCTTGGTAGCTTCTTCAGTATCCCAGACCTTACACGTTGGCTGTTCCTCGGTCCTGCATCCTGAGCTACACATCTCAGGCTAGAGGGAGCACTTGCTGTCTTCCTAGCCTCTGGCCCTCCATCAGGTCTCACCACTGTTTACTTACTGTGAGCATAGCTCTTGAGTTAAAGACAGGCATCTAGCCCTAGGAGAAAACTTATCTTTCTCCCATCAAGCCTGACAGCTGGACCCGTGGCAGAGGGACAGTACATCGGACCAGACTCCTGGGCTAAGCCAGCCAGTGTGGCATCGTGTGAGAGCAACATTAATGGGAAACAACCCGGTAAGGGGACTCCTTATTTTTTAAGAGCTGGGCTTTGGGGCACAAGGCAGAAAATGGCAAACACTGGTGACTGGGCAACAGCACGTGAAATAATTGCAGGGTTCTGATTAAGAATCTTGAGACGCTGGTATCTGCTCACCCTCCAGTCCCAATGTGGCTGAGGGTACTGCAGGCAGGGGATAAGGAGGGAGGTGTCCTCTGGTAACTCCGATAAGCAGGTGAGGTGCCCTATCCTGCAGCTGTGGGTGGGGTAGCCTGTGTCTCCTTCGGAGATGCCCGCTAACTGCTCTAGTGATGCTGGACCACCAAGCAGAGGAGACCACCAAGCAGAGGAGGCAACTCCAGTTGCCAGGACAAACTGGGCTGATCTCCTGCCCTTTGTGGTGGCCATAAGCACCCCAACTGTTCTGTTCTCTTCAAGGGCTTGCCATGCAGTCTTTTCACAAATCCCCTTGAGTGAGACCATCTATCTTCAGTTTCTGGTTCTCGACCGTTGGCTGGGTCCCAGGAAAACACCTTGGGCCAAATTCAGGGTGACATTGTGTTCTGGCCCTCCTTACTGTACATTTCAGTGTCACTTTCTTGATCTGCCTTCAACTTTGCCTTCAAGTTCCCCTCAAGGTTCCACCTTTAAACACCTCCTTCAAGGGACTAGGAGAAGCCAGGTTTGCCCTCTCCCTCTATCTTCTGCTCCTTCCCCATCCCTGTCCTTCCGTCATTGTCACGCCTCCCTCCCTGTCCCCTGCTTCTCAGTCCAGCAGAGGAGAAGCTGCAAAAAAAGGCCAAAAAAAAAATCCCAAGGAGGAGAGTTGGGGTCCTTTCCTCTCCCATCTCTGCCATCTCTCGTCATAGGGTGACACTAATCAGACAAATGACTGGGGGCAGAAAAAAAACAACAAAGGTGAGTGCTGGGAAGAGGACGATCCGTGATGCTGAGCTGGGGCTGGACTGTAGGGGGTGGGGGGAGCAGAAGGGCTCGCAACTGGGAAAACTGGCAGCGGACGCCAGAAGTGATGAGGCAGAGGCCGATGGGACCAAGTGCGAATCCAGTGCCTCCCGGGAATTAAAAAAGGGGAGGGGGACTTGCGCCCACATTGGGTATATTCAATCGCTTTGAGGTTCTACCTCCCCCTGGGCCAGCATTTTCAGTATGGTATGGTCCGAATGATGAGCAGAGCAGCCAGCTTCCAGGGCGGGCTTTGGGGGTCTGCACCAGCAGCAAAAACAATCAACAGTGATGTCTGAAGCTTGGAGCCGAAGTTGCCGGGAAATAAGTGCGAGAGAATCGTCAGAGCTTGGGGAAGGATGGAGAAGCCGAGAGAGGAGCGGAGGCGCCAGGGAGGGGGAAGGGAGGACAAAGGGTGCATGAATAATGCTTTTGCAAAGGGGAGAAAGCAACACGCAGTAGGAAGAGAAGATTGGCAAAGGGGAAAAATTGATTTGGAGAAGGGCTGTCCCCTCACCTTGAGGTCTGCTCCAGAGATCTCCGTTTATCTCTTTCAATCCCTCTGTTCTCTCTTCTCTCTTCTCTTTCCGCTCCTTCAGTAGGGAAGGGGATGGGATTGGGTCGTTGGGGGTTTGAGGACTGGGACTGCAGGCTGGACAGCTGCTGGGGGCCAGAGGTGGCCTCTTGTTCTGTACCTCGGTCTGTGGGTAAATGTGACTGTGTGTTGTGGAACTGCATCATAACACTGTGACTCATCCAACCCCCCACCCCCCTCACCTCCCACGTCAGAGCAGGGCTGGGAGACACAGGAGGCGGGTTGGGAGGGAGGGAGGAAGGGAGGGAGGGGGCAGGCATCGAGGGACTGGGCTAGAGGAGTGATGATAGGGAGTGGAGGCAGAGGGATGGCTGGTTTTGGGGTGTGGAGGCTGGTGATAGGCAAAAGAGGAGGTGGTTGTTAAGGAGCACGGCCCTGTGACCAAGGAAACTGAACCTGAGGGAAGGGCAGGGATGGAGTTAGGGAGGCAGGGCTGGGGAAGTGAGAGATAGAGAGCGAGAGCCAGGAAGTACACACACACACACACACACACACACACACACACACACACACTCGACAGGATACATTTTTCCACTTCAACTCTGACATCAGCTCTGATGTAGGCTAAAGGAGGATATACTAATTGTCATGGATGACAAACTGGGCTCTCCAGTGTGCTCAGTACTGAGCACTTGGAAGCTTTAGCATCTCAGTGTAATGCCTCCCAAAGAAGCCATAGGTCAAATATGACACCTTGCACCCAGGAAGTTCTTACCAACTACTGCCTCCAAAATAACGTGTGCTGCGAATGGAGATGTCTATAGGACATAGGGTCTTGACTGGACTGCAGACTTTTGGAGGTAGGTCCTCGGGGAAACCTCTCTGCACCCCAAGACCGCATCATCTAGTGTAAAACCCTGCACGTAGGAGAGACTTACAGAACAGGGCTTGCTTGCATCTTCAGGCAACGGCCAAGTGTCTGGCTTTGATCTCAAAGACTCCTGAGTCGAAATCTTAGCTCTGCCAATTATTCACCAGGAACCACGGGCAAGTGACTAATCCTCCTGCGCCACACAGCTCTTCGGTTCAGTGAAGCTAATGATATTTTACCTCACGGAGAAGTGACTGAGAGAGATAGCATGTACATTTCCAAAGGAGTGCCTCACACACAATAGGCACTAAGTAATGAGTGATGTGGTTTTCTTTTGTTCCCTTTTTGGGAACTTTTTAAGCTGGCGTCCAAATTGGAGAGTTTTGTTAGGAATGAGTTAGTGTTACTTCGGAACAGCGTTCTCCATGTGGGCAAAGAGGCAAGCAGAAGGACTGCCAGTTCCAGGCCAGCCTGGGCTTCATGGTGACATCAGCAATAGAGAGCCCCAAACCAATACAAACAAAAACATTCTCAATTCATAACCCCTAAGCCTAGAGAATATGTACTATTAAATTTTTGATCTTTCAAGAGACATAATGCCAAATTTTTGCCTTGTAGAAAGATTACATTTTTTTTAAAAAATCAGCTTTCAGTTAAAATTCATCTGATTTAGAATACTTCCCATGTAGTACAGAACCGTGTCACTAAAACATGGACCCAGGATACGTCACCAACACAAGACAAACCCTCCCTTTCTTTGGTTTGATTTGCTTTTCACAGAGGATACCTTTCTGAATATGAAAACTGTGGGTCGAGGCAGGGACTATGGGCAATGAGAGATGCTGCTAGCTGGCTAAGGAGAGAAGGGGGTTCTGGATATTCAATCGAGAACAAGTCTTGGGTCAGTTAATTCTGAAAAGACAATGTGTGTATCATGAGGGTCTGGATGTGAGAAGAACTGTAAGGAAGACAAAGAAGCTGAGTTGAGAGGATCCCAGTTAGAGGCCATCCTGAACTACACAGTGAGTTTCAGGCCATTCTGGGCTAGTATGTGAGACTCTGTCTCAGACAGACAGGCTGGCTATGAAGGTGCATGCCTGTAACCCCAGCATTTCATAGGTAGAGATAGGAGGAGCAGGCATTCAAGGCTCTCAGAAAAACAAAATCCAGAGGGAGAGGTGGAGAGGGGCAGGGGAAGTTTTGTCTGGGCAACAGAAATTAGAGGAAATACGGGCGCTGTAGAGAGGCTCAGCAGGTAAATGCACTTGCTGCCAACGCCTTCCTGAAATCCGAGTTCAATCTCCAGACAGAATCTATGAAATAGGACAGAGACAACTTTGAAATGTTGCTCTCTGGCGTCTACATGCCCATTGTGGCCACTGCCACCCCCGACATCATCGCCAGCGTCACACACAATATTAGATAGATCAGACAAAGGAGAAAGGAAAACTAGGGGGAGGATGAGTGTGAGGAACCAGCCTTGAGAGAAAAGGGAAGGTCCTTAGGGCATGGACTTAAAGCAGGTAGCCAAAAGGATATCCATCAATTTAAATCAACAGAAGAAAATGATCAAAGATTTAGCTGGAGAGGAGAAGGAGTGAGACACAGACAGGAGGGGTTGGTGGTGAGGTGGAGATGGCAGGAGTGTCTAGTGAGACTGGAAATGACAAGAGAGTGGGCAAGCACTGACAATTGGTACGCTCTGTCCTTTTTCTGTATTTAAGAGAAGTGGAGAGCCATCTCAAAGGGAGGAGAGGGCTCTTCCTAAAGTCAGCTTGAGGTGGTTATGCAATATCCATATAAAGATGACCTTCAGGTAACTGGGAGACATCACCTTGAGGGAGTGTGTGGAGGCAAAGAAGACTCGGGAGAATGTGTTCCAAAGAAAGGATGAGCTCCTTCGGGAGGCTACAAGTTTGCTAATGAAGTCTAGTGCTAAAATTCTGAAGAATGGTAAAGGATCAGCCTATGCCTAATAGTTCATTAAAAAGCTAATGTCTGGAGCAGAGAAAAATGTAGACCTCAATAAAAATCAATACAATGTAAAAAAAAAAAAGCTAATGTCTGCATGGTGAATAAATGAAATAACTAAAGCAAATCCCCAAAGAAAAGGGTGAGAGGTGACAACTTACCTGCCTGAAAACTGAGCGCTACATAGGGCCAGGAAGAGAAAGGTAGACCAGAAAGCCTTTAATCCCAGGACTCAAGAGGCAGAGGCAGGCAGATCTCTGTGAGTTCGAGGCCAGCCTGGTACACAGAGTGAGTTCCAGGACAGCCAAGGCTACACAAAAAACCCTATCTCAAAAACCAAATCAAAACAATGAGAGAGAGAGAGAAAGAGAGAGAGAGAGAGAGAGAGAGAGAGAGAGAGAGAGAGAGAGAAAGAAATAAAGAGAAAGAAGCAGTACCTGTAATGACAGTTACCATAACTACCGCACAGGTTCTAGCTGGAATTAAACGAACATGTATACTCTGCACCTGCGCAGTCATGGAACAATACCTAACAGCTAAAACCAAGCAATTGTTTGCCCATTATTATAAATGGATCCAACTCCATAAGTTCTTGGTTTGAATCTGTTTTAGTTACATTTCTCATTGCTATGATGAAATACTTGACACAAAAGCAACTGGAAGGAGTTTCTCTTTTGACACACGGTTCGGGAGGCAGAGTCCATCGGCACAGGGAGGCTGCAGCAATGGGAACCACTACTAGCTGTGGTGTTGGAACCTTGCTCACATCTGGCCAGATGAGGAAGCAGACAGAGTGCTTTTTCCTCTTCCGATTCAGCCCAGGACCCCAGGCCCGGAACGGTGCTGCCCACTTTCAGAGTGAATCTTCCCTCTTCGGTCTCACGCTCTTCTGAATTCCTTTCACAGACACACCCAAAAGAGCGCCTCACTGGTGTTGTTCACAGGGTTTACTAATCCAATCAAGCTGGAAAACGGCCGGGCGGTGGTGGCGCACACCTTTAATCCCAGCACTTGGGAGGCAGAGGCAGGCGGATCTCTGTGAGTTCTAGACCAGCCTGGTCTACAAGAGCTAGTTCCAGGACAGGCTCCAAAACCACAGAGAAACCCTGTCTCAAAAAAGCAAAAAAAAAAAAAAAAAAAAAAAAAAGCTGGAAAACGAAGTTAACCACCAAGAAGCCAACCTCTAAGCCTCATAGTGGTGCACACTTTAAACCCAGTACTCTGGAGGCAGAGGCAGGTGGATCTCTGTTGAGGCTAGCCTGGTCTATGTAGTGAGTTCCAGGACAGTCAGGACAGCGAGACACTGTCCGGAAAAACAAAACAAAACCCCTACATTTACTAATAACTGAATGTTTGGGCAAATGCCTCCGATTATCTTAGTTTCCTCCCCAAAGGAAACTGGAGATAATATACCTACCTGGGTTTGAGGGTGTTGTGACATAAGACACATGAAAAAACTTGGGAAACACTGTATGAATAAATGAAATTTTTAGTCTCTCCAGCCTACAATAAAAACCTAAAAGGTGCCAGGCGGTGGTGGCGCACACCTTTAATCTCGGGAGGCCAAGACAGGTGGACCTCCATGAGTTCAAGGCCAGCCTGGTCTACAAGAGCTAGTTCCAGGACAGCAAGGACTGTTACACAGAGAAACCTAATTAAAAGGCTAACTCAGATACTTGCTACATTATAGGCAATGTGCTTAGTGCTTTACATATATCTCATCCAATCTTCAAAACAACTTTAAGAGGTCGAATACTGTTATTATTCCCATTTTACAGACAAGAGACATCTCAGGGAAAGGAAGCTTGTGATTTATCCAGTCAAGCAGTGAGCCAAAAAGATTTCAAAGGCCCGTGCTTGTGAAAAGTGGATTGTAGATGTGGGGGAACCGGTTAGCAGTGGTGTAAATGACTGACCTTGTATAACTGTCGGATTTACCTACAGAACAGTCCAGACTCTGGCAGAGGTTGATGGATAATGACTGATTAATAAGGTAAATGGAGGAAATCACTGGGCTTTTATTCTACGTTTATCAAAGTAAACAAGCGCAAACAAACAAAAACAAGGATCCTGGCTTGGTGGCTCAAGTCTCTAAATTCCAGCATTCTGAAGGCCCGAGGCAGGAGAAATCACCGCGAGTCCACGGTTGGCTAGCCTGGGCTACAGTTAGGCCAGAAAAGAACTAGGGAAAACAATTTACACTTGGTTCCTTCTACGCGACAGGAACCAACAGGCGGAGGCTGTCAGCTCTGCGCAGCCTCAAACGGGTGTGATTGCTGCCAATGTCCCTCCGCCTGGGTCTCCTGCTGAAGCTGGGTTTTGCTAACTTTCTGACTCGTGGTCTAGGCTAGCCGAGGATCCAGCCTGTAAGGCGTCTCCCTTTCGGGTCGTCCTTCGCTTTCCTGGACGACAGATGGGGACAGACCACGTACCCGCCTCCGGCGCGTGGGCGCACCGGCAACGCCTCCTCCCCGCCTCCTGCGGTCTTCCCGCACCAAGTGACGGAGATGCCCCGCCCACCTCGCGCGTCACGGCACAATCCTTGAACTACGACTCCCAGAGGGCCGAGCGGCGGTGCGAGCTCGCCCCTCCATCCAACTACACGTCCCAAGAGGCTTTACGCGACAGCGCCTTCTCTCACCGCGCAAGAACGGAACCGCGTTTGCTTTCCGGCAGGTCTCTAAGTGAGCGTTGTGTGTGGTTGTGCTGCGGTCCTGTCCGGACGCTTCTGTCACGTTCATTTAGCGCCTGTGGTTGTGCAGGTAAGACTTAATTAAGGACTTCGGCTCACTTCTGCGAGGCCTGGGTAGATTGCTGGAGATAACTGCCACAAATGCTGAACCTGGAAGTGCGGTTCAGAATCAGAACTAGTAACTTACGTTTCTTTGGTAGATTGTAATTTACGATGTTTCTTTGTTTTGTTTTACCTACTGTGGTCGCTGTTACGTGAGGACGTGTAAATTCCCACCGTATGATAGCTGAAGAGTTGGTTCGGGTGTAGATTGGACTATAGTAGCTGCTAGGAGTCCCAGAGCCGGACGTGTAAATGTTTTCTTAGTCTGAACCCTGTGTCCTGTTCTTTGCACACTATTCAGAGTCTAGCTTCTTCTCGGCTAAGAGAGTTGGAGAGCGGGCATCTGTTATTTTCCAATAGAATGATGGAGTCGGTGTGGGTGGCGCACGCCTTTAATCCCAGCACTTAGGAGGCGCCTTTAATCCCAGCATTTGGGAGGCGGAGTTCAAGGCCAGCCTGGTCTTCCCAGCCAGTTCCGGAACAGGCTCCAGAGCTACACAGAGGAACCCTGACTCGGAAAAAAAAAAAAAAAAAAAAAAAAAGGAATGATGGAGAGAAACCAGTGCGATCAAGTCTCCTGTTAACAAAATTTAACAAACTCTGTAGGGAGTATTCTCTGTATAACCTAGTCATTCATTCACTCAGTGCCCTACTCTTGTACCTACTAGAGATAGGGTAGCAAACAAAAATACCTCTTCCTTCTAGCTGTGGGGAGACTGAATGAAAACAAATACCCAGTCATAGTGGCATTTCATTTGTATTTTAATAGATAAAGCTTGCCTGAAGATCAGAGAGTAAAACAACTCCACAAACCAGGCAGTGGTGACACGCACTTTTAATACCAGTAGCCACATTAGTTGCCATAGAAACCAGGCAGTGCACGCCTTAATCCCAGCCCTAGAAGGGAATATAAGACAGGAGGAGGCAGCTCACAGACACGGTCTCATTCTGAGATTCCTGGAGGCAGGATCAGGATCGTCATCTCAGGTAAGAGCCAGTGGCTGGCTGTTTTGCTTTTCGGATCTTCAGGTTGAACCTGGATTCTCTCTGGGTTTTTATTTATTAGTCATTGCCTCACCCAGTGAGTCGTAAGGCAATAAGAACTGTGCAGAAAAGATAAAGGGATGAAACTATTGGAAGATAATATTAATTATACATGCTTGGCTGATAGCTCAGGCTGTTACTAACTAGCTCTTACAACCTAACCTATTTCTATTAATCCATGTGCTGTCCCGGGGCTAGTAACATCTCTATTCCATTTTGTGTGTCCAACTCATTCTGCATCTGGCTAGGGACTGCTCTGACTCCACCCTTCTTCCCAGAACTCTCCCTCTGTCAGGCTGTCTTTCCCAATCTCTTTCTGCCCAGCTATCGGCCAGCTTTTTATTAACAATTATAGCAGTAGCCCCGGGGGATAGTGGCGCACGCCTTTAATCCCAGCACTTGGGAGGCAGAGGCAGGCAGATCTCTGTGAGTTCGAGACCAGCCTGGTCTACAGAGCTAGACCAGGACAGGCTCCAAAGCCACAGAGAAACCCTGTCTCGAAAAACAAACAAACAAACAAAAACCAATTATAGCAGTAGTACATATTTACAGCGTAGAAAGATTGTACCGCAGCAGTGGCCCGATGTAGTGATTGGATCTGATGTTTAATTTGGGTTCTAGGCATAGCAGCTACACAGAAAGATGAGTGAGGAATCCAATGATGACAAGAAGCCAACGACTAAATTTGAACTGGAACGAGAAACAGAGCTTCGATTTGAGGTGGAGGCATCTCAGTCAGTTCAGCTGGAGTTGCTGGCTGGCATGGCAGAGATCTTTGGCACAGAGCTGACCAGAAACAAGAAATTCACCTTTGATGCTGGTGCCAAGGTGGCTGTTTTCACTTGGCATGGCTGTTCTCTGCAGTTGAGTGGCCGGACCGAGGTGGCTTACGTCTCTAAGGACACGCCCATGTTGCTTTACCTCAACACGCATACCGCCTTGGAGCAGATGCGGAGGCAGGCGGAAAAGGAAGAAGAGCGAGGCCCCCGCGTGATGGTTGTGGGCCCTACTGATGTGGGCAAGTCCACGGTGTGCCGGCTGCTCCTCAATTACGCAGTGCGCTTGGGCCGCCGTCCCACGTATGTGGAGCTGGATGTGGGCCAGGGCTCTGTGTCCATCCCTGGAACCATGGGGGCCCTCTACATCGAGCGGCCCGCAGACGTGGAGGAAGGTTTCTCCATCCAGGCCCCTCTTGTGTATCATTTTGGCTCCACCACTCCTGGCACCAACATCAAGCTTTATAATAAGGTCAGTGCTGGAGCTAAGGTGGGGTGGAGGGAAAACTTAAATCAGGGTAGGAAGTAGGCATTTTGTTACTTAAAATAGAAGAAATTAGCCGTGTGGTTGTGGCGCTTGCCTTTAATCCCTGCACTCGGGAGGCAGAGGCTGGCAGGTCTCTGAGTTTAAGGCCAGCCTGGTCTACAAGAGCTAGTTCCCTGTCAGGCTCCAGAGCTACAGAGAAACAATACATTTTTGCCCTCAAACTTAATCACTTTGGATTTAGAAGAAATCTAAACCTAAGTCAGCTTCAACTTTTTTTTCCCCCTTAGAAAACCAAGCATTTTTTATATTTAATTAGTTTATTTATTTGTGTTTTTCGAGACAGCAGCCTTATCTGTCCTGGAACTTGCTCAGTAGGCCAGTCTGGCCTTGAGCTCTGAGAGTGAGCTGCCTCTGCCTCTGGAGTGCTGGGATTAAAGGCGTTTGTCACCTTCTCCCGGCTTTATTTTATTTTATTTTATTTTTGGTTTTAGGCTAGAGTCTTGTACTGAGACCCTGTCTCATAAAAGAAAAAAAGAAAGAAAAGGGGGGGGGCTTACGATGTAGTTTCCTCGCCACGCACATTTCAAGACTTGTGGTTGGGTTCCCAGTCCTGTACACAGGTACCAATTTCTCTAAAAAGGAACTGAAATAGATGGATTTGGGAACTGGAGAGATGGCTCGGTGAAGACAAGCCTTGGCTGCACTTCCAGGGTCCAAGCACCCACATGACAGCCTGTAACTGTTTAACTCCAGTTCCAGGGAATCTGACACCCTTAGATGGATGGACATTCATGCAGACAAAATACCAAACCAGTGCACATAAATTTGTCTGTGTTATTTTATTTTATTTTTTATTTTCTTTTTCTTTTTTTTCTTTTTTCTTTTGGTTTTTCGAGACAGGGTTTCTCCGTAGCTTTTGGTTCCTGTCCTGGAACTAGCTCTTCTAGACCAGGCTGGTCTCGAACTCACAGAGATCCCCCTGCCTCTGCCTCCCTGGGATTAAAGCGTGCGCCACCACCGCCCGGCCCTGTCTGTGTTATTTTTATTTTATCCGTCTTGTGCTCTCATTTTGATCTTTTCCAGATTACGTCTCGTTTAGCCGACGTGTTCAACCAGCGGTGTGAGGTGAACAGAAGGGCTTCCGTGAGCGGCTGCGTCATCAACACCTGCGGCTGGGTCAAGGGCTCCGGGTACCAGGCCCTGGTGCATGCAGCATCAGCCTTCGAGGTGGACGTGGTGGTGGTTCTGGATCAAGAACGGCTGTACAACGAACTGAAAAGGGACCTGCCTCATTTTGTTCGAACTGTGTTGCTTCCAAAATCAGGGGGTGTGGTAGAACGCTCCAAGGACTTCCGGCGGGAATGTAGGGATGAGCGCATCCGTGAGTATTTCTACGGATTCCGAGGCTGTTTCTATCCCCATGCCTTCAATGTCAAATTTTCTGATGTGAAAATCTACAAAGTCGGGGCACCTACCATCCCAGACTCCTGTTTACCTCTGGGCATGTCTCAGGAAGACAATCAGCTCAAGTTAGTACCTGTCACCCCTGGCAGAGATATGGTGCACCATCTTCTGAGTGTCAGTACCGCTGAGGGGACAGAGGAGAACCTTTCTGAGACAAGCGTGGCTGGGTTCATTGTGGTGACCAGTGTGGATCTGGAACACCAGGTGTTTACCGTGCTGTCTCCAGCCCCCCGCCCGCTGCCTAAGAACTTTCTTCTCATCATGGACATCCGGTTCATGGATCTCAAGTAGTGTTAGCAAGAGTCTCACTTTCTGGACCATGGAAATCTGGCCATCACCCAAGGCAGAGGGAATGAGATTTGGGGATCTTAAGGAGCCGACGAGGAACAACGGTAGGAGCCATACTTCTGTACTCTGAACCAAAAGGAGAGACTAAGAAAAAAAAAAATAACTATTTTTTTAAAGATCACCTAAGGTGCCACTTTAAATATTCCAAGACCCTGGATAATTCCATGTCTTCCACTGTGCTACCATGAGGGGATTTTTGTTACTGCTTTCTGATCCATATATAGTTCTTGTTATAACCAGATGAAAGTGAGATAAAGTTCAAACTTGAAAATATTTTAATAAATATCATTGCCATATTGTAAGTTGTTGTGATTCTTTTTTAATTTCATTTTTCTACCGAAGCATTATAGAAACTATAGGAAGGATTTATTGCTAAAGCATTGTGAGGAGGAGAAACCCAAGAACCTACTTGTGAGCTGAGCATGTTTGTTTATTTATTTATTTTTTTGAGACACAGTTTTCTTGTGTACCCTTGCTTGTCCTGAAACTCACTCTAGACCAGGCTGGCCTCAGGGTTTCATTTCAGGACAGATGGAGCCTGCTTCTACTTCCTGAGTGCTGGGGATAAAGGCATGTGCCACCACACCTACCTACCAAGCATGTTTTTATGATGGTTCCCTCTTGCTTCACACTTAGATGGTAAACCTGTTTCCAGTGCTGGGTGTACTCTGAGATTAGAGACTGGCAATAATCTTGGGATGGTTTCAGCTCTATTTCCTAGAGATAACCCAATGCCTTTAAAAAAAATTATGTATGAGTGCTCTGCATGCCTACGTGCTAGACGAGAGCATCAGGGCATCCAATTTTTAAAAATTTTACTTATGTATGCTGACCTGTCTGCACCCCTACCTGCCAGAAGAGGGCATCAGACCCCATTTTAGTTGGTTGTGAGCTACAATGTAGGTACTGGAAATTGAACTCAGGACCTCTGGAAGAGCAGAGGTCTTAACTGCTGAGCCATCTCTCCATCCCCCGGTCATTACCTTTCTCCATCCCCTGGTCATTACCTTTTTGTTAAAGCTATCCTTCCTGTTTGTCTAGAATCAAGTTCCTGTGTTCAAATGTACTAAAGATTTTGGGTATAAAGCTGGGCAATGCGTACAATGTTCTGCCTGCATGTATGCTTGCCGGTCAGAAGAGGGCACCAGATCTCACTACTGATAGTTGTGAGCCACCATGGGGTTTTTTTTTTTTTTTAAATATTTGTTTATTATGTATACAATATTCTGTCTGTGTGTATGTCTGCAGGCCAGAAGAGGGCACCAGATCTCATTACAGATGGTTGTGAGCCACCATGGGTTGTTGTGAATTGAACTCAGGATCTCTGGAAGAGCAGCCAGAGCTCTTGATCTCTGAGCCTCTCTCCAGCTCTATCCCCCAATTCTTTACTGTGCACATATGTACGCATTAGAAACTTCTAAGTGGGGAACAAAATAAAGTTTTATGAAGCTTGCAGCAAAAGAATAAAAAAGGCAAGTAGGATACAGAAGCTTAAATTTGGGCACATGGGACAGTCAGGAAGGGCCCTTTCTGAGAGTACATCCCCAGAAGACCTGAAAAGTTAAACGGCACTTATGCAAAAGTTTCCTCAGAGAGGAAACTACAAAATCCTAAAAAAGAAAACTGAGCTTAGTGAAGGAGAAAGCAGTGTTGTTGGGTGTAATGAACCAAACAAAGTAAAGGTGAGGCTGGAGGAAGCTGGAGAGACAGAGAAAGTGCTCATGAATCTGAGTCAAGCAGACTACCCATCCACAGCAAGCAGGAGACACAGGACTAGGGCTATTCAGCCAAGCAACGATGCAGGGTACTTCACACTCGACAGACTTCCTTCTGGCATCGTCATATTTGGTTTTGGTTGATTTTCTTACTGCCTTCTTCCCTGTCCTCTGTCCCTGTCTGCCTCCAGGATCACCCCCCAACACGTTTTTTAACCCAGTCTTCATTTTGAAGATTGCCCTGTGGAGAACTGACTACAGGGGGCAGGTCTCTGGAGAAGCCAAAGACCAATGGGGTGTTTTCCTGTCGGTATCGAGGTGTGACTCGGTGGGGGGCAGAATGATGGCTGCAGATGAGGGGAGTGTGACCCTCTGTGCTTGGGGATATTTGAACATCCAATGGCTAGGACTTGCTGGTAAGAGTGAGGATTAGAAAATGGGATTGAGGATGATGACTCGTGGTAGGGTCTGTGTGTGTGTGTGTGTGTTTTTTTCATTTTATGTGTATGAGTATTTTGCTTGTGAGGTGACTGGGGAGGTCAGAACAGGGTGTCAGCTCCTGACCTGAAGTTTAGCCTGTGAGTGCTTTCTGGGTGCTGGGAATCTCTGTAACAGCTCTGCCGGTCCTGGAACTCACTCTGTAGACCAGGCTGGCCCTCGAACTCAGAGATCCACCTGCCTCTGCCTTCTGAGTGCTGGGATTAAACATAGGCCACCAAACCTGACCATTTAGTGCTCTTGACTGCTGAATGTGTGTGTGCACTGTTGAGACGAGGATCACTCTCAGACTCAGTGTGCAGCCTGCAGAACTCCTCCACAGTGCATGTGCTGGAGTTACTACATGTACCACCATCCCTGGCTTAGATAAGTTTTTAAACAATTTATGTCTTACGTATGAATGCCTTGCAAGTATACCTGCATGCCAGAAGAGGGCATCAGATCCTATTATAGATGGTTGTGAGCTACCATGTGGTGACTAGGAATTGAACTCAGACTCTCCAGGAAAGCAGTCAGTGCTCTTAACTGCTGAGCCATCTCCCCAGCTCCATAAAAATTTTTAAAATTTTTTTTAACTATTTTTAATTAATTAATTAATTAATTAATTTTGAGACAGGGTTTCTCTATGTAACAGTCCAGGCTGTCCTGGAACTCTTTGTAGACCAGGCAGGCCTCCAATTTACTGAGATTTGCTTGCTAGCTAACTCAGCCTCCTGACTCAAGGTTAATTTTATTAGCACAAATGCAAACTTGGGGTTCACAGTGTGATCGAATATCTCCCAACATACAGAAAGTATTTTAAGCACTGTAATTTAGTAATTTACATGCTGTGAAGATGGAAATGAGGAACAAAGATGGAGGTAAGAGGCCAAAAAGGGCTGGGATGCAGTTCTAGGGGCACAGCTTCTGCTCAGCAGCATAAGGCTTTGGATTCCACTCTCAGCACTGGAAAAAGAAACAGGCTGGTGTGGGTTGGGGCAGAACGAGAAGCATACTGGGAACCAACCAAAGAAACCTCCTGGAAGCACTGATGTGGATCAAAACTGGCCTTGGAAAGCAGTCTTGGCATGGTGGGGGATAAACTTTCAAGGTACTGCACACGGAGGATGTTAGGTACAGACTTATCTTTCAAGAGTTGGCAAGACGGTTTAGCAGATAAAGGCACGGTTGCTAAACCTGACAGCCTGGAGAGAACTGACTCCCACAAGTTGTCCTGTGACCTCGATACCTGTTCTGTGTCACATGCGTGCCTCTTCTACCTCATGAAAATAAGGAAGAAAGTGTGCAGTGAAGAGAAAAGGATCCAGAGAACAAAGAGAAGGACTGTCTTTTTGTTGCAGGGAGGCTGCTTGCTGGTTCCCAGCTACTCTCCGCTTGTTCTCCCCAGCCACCCAGAACTGAAATAATCACACAGAAACTGTATTAACTAAATCACTGCTTGGCCCATTAGCTCTAACTTCTTATTGGCTAACTCTTACATATTAATTTAATCCATTTTTATTAATTTGTGTATTGCCACGTGGCTGTGGCTTACCAGGTAAAGTTTGGGCATCTGTCTCCAGTAGGGCTCCATTGCTTCTCTGACTCCACCTTATCTCTCATTCCGTGTAGTTTTCCCCGCCTAGCTCTGTTCCTGTACAGCTCTGCTATAGGCCCAAAGCAGTTACTTTATTTATCAGTGGTAACCACAGCATACAGAGGGAAATCCTACATCATCGTCTGAAAGAAGCTTACTATGTTTGGCAAGTATGCCAAGCATCCAACCCAGGGCCTTGCAAATGCTAAGCCCAAATTCTGTCAGTGAGCTTCACCCCCAGCACCAAAAAGATTATTTCAAGAGGACAAGGAGCGAAGATAGGATTTTAACATGAAGAAGTTAAAAAATGCGATCATTTTTACACTGCTGAAGGAAGGCATTCTTTGGAGCCTGTCCTGGAACTAGCTCTTGTAGACCAGGCTGGCCTCGAACTCAGAGATCTGCTTGCCTCCAGAGTGCTGGGATTAAGGCATGTGTACCATTACCACACAAGGTGAAGGAAAGCATTCTTTTTGCTAAATTAACCCTGGCACTGGCTTGCCATATACAGACATACGGAAACTCAGGTGAAGGGCATTTTAAAAAAGTATAGATAGGCGACACGAGAGAAAGCACCAGGTATTTCTTGACATACTTGTCAAAAAGTAATTTATTTCAAATGTGATGATCTGGATAATATATTGTTCTAGTCTTCTCCTCCTCCTCCTTCTTCTTTTGAGACAGGGTTTCTCTGTGTAGCCTAGTCTGTCCTGGAACTTGCCTATAGACCAGGCTGACCTTGAACACACAGTTTTTTGTGTTACACCCTATGAAACCTTCTTTCTGGGGTACACATTTTGTGATCTTAAGGAAAGGAGAACGGAATCTCTGTTAATCCTTGGGACAGAGATTACACGTTGCTAGTGCTCGTCAGCTGAAACTGAGCTTAACAACCCAGCAGTCTAACGTCTCTAGAGATGCTAAGGCATTCAGTACCTCTGGCTGGATGGTGGGATGCTTTTTCCATTTCGTGTGGCCTGGCCAACAGACATGATTGTTTGCCCAGGTTCTGAGTAGAAAAACCGAGCTGGCAGATGGGCCAGTGGGTGACAGTGCCTGCCAGGCAAGCCTGACTACTTGAGTGGCACCTCTGGAAGCCAAAAGAGTCAACACCTGAAAGGTGTCTCACCCCACCCGCATCTTTCATATAGCTGAGGATTTGAAAAGTAGTCAACATGAACTGGAATCGGTTATAACAAATGCTGGATCGAGAACAATAGTAAAAACGGAGTAGAAATGATAATATATACCAGTCAGAGAAGGAGACAGACCCGACTCTAAAGAACAAAGGGTAGATTTGTGCATTAACTTGCGGCCTAAGGCTAAAGTGTCAAAGTTAAATCTGCAACATTTAAAGTCAACCCAGGGAGACAATGACAGAACTTGGAAACCACACTGGACACACGAGAGACCTTGGTTTCAGGGAAGTGGCGGGTGGGACTCCTTTTCCAAGGGCTGTTATGTAACAGAACGATGGCCTGGAGCTGTAAGAGAGCCCTATGGCAAAGCTA